TAGCGACACAAATGTGGGAGGACTATGAGAGGTATATTCACGAGCACAATCTTGTAGAGGACACATATATGTCAGACGTTGATACTGACGGAGATGATGATTTCGAGCAGGAGCAGGAGGCAGATGAGGACATCTAATATTTGTACTGTATCCTTCATACAGTACAATAATTTGATTGAGATTGATTAAAAAAACAGTGCGAAAATGTGAGCGCATGGAAACACAGTAATTCAAAGTACAAAAAACAAGACTTGCGTTAGAGCTACAAATTGAGAGTTTTTTTCGTCTGCTCGATGATGCTTCGTAAAAAGGTCGTGCGTAAATCAAGTTCCATGATCTGGATGTATGTAGAGCAGATCACTGGACTCCTCATGAATGCATGCACAAGAATGAGCTTGTCCTCACCCGTCAAAGTCTCCTCCTCTTGTATTGCCTGCAACACATGTGATCTGTCATCTGCCAGCTGACTCTCATCCGTGGACCCAAACACCAAGTTAAGAGTGTCTGCGAGGCAGCTGATGGTGCCTTGGAGATTCATTACAGCAGCGGTGCTGGCGGCCTCCTTTGCGGCCCTCTTGCTGGAGCTCGCATGCGACCTGCCACTGCCCTGGGTTGAAAGCTTGAGTTTCTTGTCCGACATTGCGCTCGACACATGCGACACACTAGTGGAGGTGGTAGAAAGGAGAGCAGAGTGATCAAATAACATGTCCTGTATGGGAGCGCTTTCTGAACTGGATGCTGACGTGAGAGGAGGTCCCATGACTACTGGACTTGGAGTGATGGGCTCATGGGCAATGTCAACCCCACCCGGAGTGTTACTAGTAGAGGGACCTGCCACCAAGCCCATGTCAGCGGTGGTGGCGGTGGTGGCGGTGGCAGCAGCATCAGCTGATGGATTATATGCTGCTGCCCCATGCGCGGTGCTAACTCTTGACAGAAGTTGTTCCATCTTAGCGTAAAATCTCCATCCGTTTTTGAATTGCTTCATCCCTGCATTGGCCTGCACTGAAGGTGAGTATACTGTTTGGTGGCCCACCAAAAAATCACATACTGGGTTGGTAAGATAAGCAGACCAAGCATCTTCAGCGGCACACCCTTGAATGTTGGCACCAATCTCAGGATCCCAGTGAATCCCAGATTTGTTGCAGTATTTGTTTATCTGGTTGAATGCGGCCTTGAGCTAAATTTGAAAGATCAGTATGGGAGTGGCAAAAGGAAGGTTCAAGATGACATACCAACATTTACTTGTTTCTACAGTGTGCTCCAGTCTTCATAATGCCCTGTGTCCTAATGTTCTGGGCCTCAATAGCAGTGGCTGCTTTGTTAAAAGTGTCGATCTTGAAGGATGTCGCTGCCATCTTCGATCTGTTTGTGATAAGATAATTGAGGAGGGCAATGATCTCTGCATCGTTCCACTGGGCCTTCTCCTTTGATCCAGCGTTGAGATCAGCTAGATCTTCTTGAGTGACCTGCATGACATATATTTGTGCACACAGTATGATGGCAGATACAGTGATGAAGACCTGCTTTTGTTGCAGGAGATTGATAGTATTGTGATTACCACCAGGGACAAATGTAGTCATGGTCGGAAAGAAAGGTATTTGAAACTCCGCTGGCGGCTCCTTCTGTGCCGTAGCCACATATTCTCAGATTTTTCTCAAATCACGGTTGCCGAACAGGCTCTAAGTCCATGGTCTCCAACTTTTCTACTTCATGGGAGGTAACATGGTGAGTTCTTGGGAGGATTTAGTTTGTTGTCCTCTTCCTGTAATCTCAAACAAAGATTGTTCTGTGTTCTGGATGTACATTTAGGTTTTGTTTCAGCCTAGTAGGTCGTGTTTCCACCTATGAAAGTCTGTTTCAACTTTGTTGTCCTTAGAATTGTGTCTCACTTTCCGTTGAAAGAGAGTCTTATGTATATGTAAAGCTTAGTCTGAGAGCTGTTTGCTGATTATATAGTCAACCCCTGTAAGGTAGTATATAACCTAGAGTAAAATAATGATAACAAAAGTTATATAGTCAAACCCCTGTAAGGTAGTATATAACTTAGAGTAGATAATGATATCTTAGACGTTACCTCAAGGCACTATGTTGGCCTGCACTTTAATTCTTAGTGATCTCACACGGTTTGAGACAAGAGTCAAGTGGGAGGATTGTTATTTCATGGAGAAAATGGGGTCCTTTTATACCTTTTGGGAACCCCCTTACTAAGCATGATTTATCAGATGGATTGGTAAGAATGTGGCTTACAAACCAGGTGATGAATCAGCTTATTACTAAGTACATTACAAATACAGTGTAATCTTACAAAGAATTTACAAAGCATGACAGATCATGACAAAACATGATGAGTCATGTGAATGTTGTTACAAATCAGATTATTTCCCAGTCACATGATGTGCTGACAAACAAATCTGGTGGCTGAAAGAAGCCAAATAAAAACAAACAGTCAGAAATAAATAGAGAGATACAAAACTTTAACAAACAAATATGTGGCTGAAAGGAGCCAAATAAAAATAAACAATGAGAAATAAACAGAAGGTCACATGTTTATAAAAGTACAAGATAAAACAAGTCTGAAAAGTGAGAAATAAAATATAAGACAATGAATCAAAGGAAAAATAGAGAGGTAACTCAGTGACAGAGGACTAGACAGTCTCTCATACCTTCCTTATCACTCTCTATATAGATCTGACATGGTATGAATCACATACCATGCATGACAGCACGAGAACTTGCGCTGATGCGATGTGAGCGTGATACGATGTGCGGCCATATGGCCAAAGGTTTGATGAAGTATGAAAGCATGCAGCCAAGCCGAAGGATAAATGTGAAAAGCTGTGAATGTGAAAGCAATGCAGCATGGCAGTGAAATGGGAGGAGTGTTTGACAATAGATGCAGTGAGTGAAATGCGAATGTTAGTGCAGCTGTTAGAGACACATGTGTGATAGTATGCCGAAGGTTTAGATTTTCAGTCTAAGTGTTGCGTGAAAACAAATAATAATTTCAATGGGGGAATAGAATGATACATGAAAATCGTAAGTACTTGGTATATATGAGAGCGCTGTAAGACCTATGGTCTTTGCAGCCTCGTACAGGCCTTTTTGTGTTGTCCCTCTGGTTCTAATTGCAGTACGCACTACCATTGGTATAGTGCGCATGTCTTATATCGTCGGCTGACAGCCGCGGCTCTCGCGCGCGCTTCAGCTAACGTCAGCTTCCCTTCGGATCTGTCGCACGTCCTCCATCCATCCTATCCATATCCTCCGCTGGTTCATTGGTGCGTATATTACTTGATTCCCACTAGACTAACAACAATTCCCAAGCTATTCCATTTATATTTTCATTAAATGTGTCATGGACCCTACTTACATACATCTCACTACCTACTCGGCTCCGAATATCGCTTATGCGCACATACATATATTGGATACTTAGAATTTTCATGTACCTTCTCTCCCCCATCAGAATTTATCACCCGTTTGCACACAAAAGCTATAAGCTGTGACTAAAAGTCTAAAATCTTCGGTACTCTCTCACGTGTGCACTTCTATCGGCGGCAATTGTCTTGTGCTCATGTATCTATAATATCCAATGCTCTCGGCGCTCATCATTGCTTGGCTTCGCCCTAGCGCCTTCAGTACCTCTTCACAACTCACCTTCGACTAAACCGCGCACTTTCGCGTTTTGTCACATCGCGGCTGCTCCGCTTGCATCGCATCACGTCTTATTGGTGCTTCGTCTAAGTGTATATCACATCACATTTTCAGCGGCTCGCTTGCGCTTGCATTGCATCAGCTTCGGCTTTCAGCTCTCGTGTTTTCTTTTAGTCTCAGTCACTCTTATTAGTTTCAACATTTCCCCTCACACTTTTACTTAGAGGAATCATTCTCAGTAGCAATCCCCTCGGGCCGAATCTATACTTGCGTCCAGAGGTCTATTTGAGTTTTTACCCCACTTCCCCCTTTCTACCCATTTCACCCCTTCTCATCTAGCTATCATTCCTCGCACACAGCGCGCTGAAGCACTGTTCAGAGCCGAGTAGGTAGTGGTGATATGTAACAAGGGTCATAATGCAAGTAATGAGAATATAAACGATATAGTGTTGGAAATGTGATCAGTCTAATGCAAATCAAGTTAGATACGCACCAATGGACCAGCAGGAGGACATGGATAGGACGGAGGAAGGATGCACAACAGAGCCAAAGAAAAGCTGACGTGAGCTGATGTGTGCATGTGAGCCACAGCCATTGGCCGATAACAGAAAGGATGCGCGCCGTGTTAGCAATAGCACACGCAATGTGAGGACCTAAGGGACACTGCGAAAATAGCCTCTATGAGGCTACAAGGACTCCAAGTCCTACAACAGATACTTTTGAAATCTAGTAAAATTTTGGTTAGACCCTGGCTGGCAATATCAGATCTACACTCACAATAATTATATGTGCTTTTGGTGCTGTTGGGACAAAAATGGGTGCTACCCAGGAAAGTTTGAGTGGAATGGACAGTTATGTCACTAGACTACCAGAAATATTTTGGCAGAACCAACAGTTATGTCACATATGAAAGGTTTTGGAGAACATACTCCTAGTAAATGTAATTGCACCACTGGAAAGGTTTTGGTGAACATTGATACTCACCATACTAGGTATTTCAATTTAATGGATTGGCGTGGATCATGTTGTCGAACACATTACTATTCTACCAAAAAGCACTGGTGAATATCATGCTCGAGGTGCCTGTAAGTTAGACCAGTATGTCAAGCTATGAAGTAGGGTCAATGAATTATTCAGAGTCAGCTTGCAACTACAAATTTTGAAGAATGGGGCAAAACTCACCTTGAACTTCAGAACCCACCTCCTTCAAATCTCTTCAGCCTCTGAAGTCCTCCATCAATACAATGTCTCAGCCTGATACAATTATGAAGTGCATAGGAACTCAACCTAAGAATGCAACTCAGCATCCAGAACACATTTTGACTGAGGGTCATGGAAAGAGATGTACCACTGCTCAAAAGGCTGCTGACAATCAACATGAAAGAGAGGCAAAGGAAGTAAGTAAAAAAGCTATGTAGGAACACTATCAGTGTATTGCTACTTTGCAAGCACAGATGCAGGCTGACCAAGATGCTGCATGCACTGATGCACCTAAGTCTAAGTGTCCTCATGCACGCCCAGTGGGGAAAGCTGGAAATACCTTGAAGACTTCCAACTCAACTATAGATGGTGGACAGGCAGAGGTAAAAATCGTCACTGATAAGCTGGTTGACACCAAAGGCCAGGGTGTAGGTGAAAAGCTAACAGCTGGTGCTAATGTCAAACATCCTGCAAGTGATGAGGAGTTGGAGGTGCTAGTAGCAACCAAACCTAAGAAGAAAAGGGCCAACAAACAGGTGGTGAGAGATGCAATCAAAGCCTCTGGCACCATTATCAATGGATCAACCAAGGCACATGATAGGGATGTTGGCCAAAAGACATCTGATGTGTAAGTGTTTGTCTCATGAGCAAAACTATGAGCCTCCTCCAGCTAACTGAAACTGCTCTTTTTTTCTTCAATCTCTCTGGATATGAGATCAAATAAATCCACCATGTTTGATGATCTGGAGTTATGTATGAGTATTGTTTGCTTGCCTACCAACATTTGAAAACACCCACTATCCAGAAGTGCTGCATTTTCTGTTTTGGAAAATAGAGGGGAGCGTTGTAGAGATACAACAATTGCTGGGCACTACACGAAGTAAGTAGCCAGCAATATAAAAAGTTGTGGTCGTGCACAGCCTAGTCTGCTTATACTTGCAAGACAAGTGCGTTTGACCCGAGGGGCTTGCTGTTGGTATTAGAATAATCAGTTATATCAAAAGGAAGATAGTCCGAAGCGCGGGAAACAAAGTCCAAAGGTATAATTACGAGTCCGATGTCAAAAACGTCGGGTCCGATGTTTTCGGGTTTCGGGTTAGCGAGTTTGCCTCGGGTTGCATCAGGTTTGCCTCGGGTTTGCCTTGGGAATATAGCGAATGTCGGGGATAGCGAACGGCGGGTTACTGTCAGATGTTTCGGATAAAGAATGGATGATATTGCGGAATCCAACTAAGAACTATGAATATCGGATGACCTCCTCCTACTTGGAGGTAGAAAGGTAGAGTAAATAGGTAGGAGGTATGCGAAATCTATAGTGTCTATGTAGAAATTCGGAGTGCTATAGGCGAATGTAGTAGCACTGATTTTTGGGTCCGATGTCCTATGTAATAAGACATGATGTACTGCGGACATGTAATAACGCGTTCTACAATGTTAGTGACATGAAAATGAATAACTGCGCACCTAGTGGGGATAGATACGAGAGGACAAGACATAGGGAGGACAAATGTGTGGGAAAATATTGGGTCCGATGCGCAGGAAACATTGGGTCCATCGGATTAGCGTCGGGTTTAGCGGATAAACATCAGATTGAGCGGGTTAGCATCGGATTGAGTGGATGAGTGTCGGATAACATTGGAAAGTGATTCGTGTGCAATGGGCATTTGACATGCATAGGTAAATAGCTGAATACATGCTCAGCGCGAGCTTGAGTGCTACAGCGTGAACCTGCTTGGAGGGCCGCAACCAGACTGTAGTGATATCAGTAATATGCAAACAAAACAAAGACCATGATATATTATTAAGAGACTTAGTAACATAGAAAAGACAGTCAAAAAAGCCTCACTGATCTGAAAAAAAGCTTAAACCTGCCATTATGAAGAATGTTACTATCTGAAAAACACGTAAGTATGACCCACCTCCCTTTGGTGACTGGCACAGTGCAGTGCACCAAAGTGCATGCCATAAATCCAAATGCATCTCCAGGCCAGATAGGGATGTGACATTGTAAAGAGTTGATTCTATGTAGGTGCTACAAAAGTGTTACCTTCAGAACTCAATGTGTGAGTGTAATGATCATCCCAAAGAGACTGCCTATAGAACTACTCCTTGATATAAAATGCAAGGGATGTCTAGTTAAGATCGAAAGTGAGAGAGAGGAATGTTACCAAGAGTGCATTTGGTGTTCCAAAGATGAGTCCAAAGTACCGAAGTACTCATCCGATGAAGTCCGAAGGTGGTCCAACGTCAAGACACGAAGGTCTGAGGTTGTGCGAAGTGTCCGAAGAGCTTCCGATGAACAGTGAAGGTTCCAAGGTAGAAGTACGGTGTGTATGTCAAAGTATAAGACTTGCAAAGTACAACTAAGCAAAGTCTATTGGGAAAATTAAGAGATAGCAAGATGCGAAATGGCAGCAGTCAGGCCAAACAATTGTTCCGAATGAACAAGAAAGATCGATTGCGCAAAAGTACGACTATCTGAAGTGACTCTACTAACTATGACTCGTAGCAGGGAAAGTGAAGTGCCGTCCAAGTAACTAACGAGGCAGATTATATCCTACAGTGTGAAATTCCGGAAACTACATAGGTGAGAATACTAGCGAGATAAGCTATCCGAAATGTAATAAGACTTGAGGTGAGTCACTACAAGATATGCATGTAATAGCGCATGAGGTGTGCAGCTATACATATTAACCAATGGTTTTGATGGGCCAACAATGTATGTGCCCCTAAGACATAATCAATAACAGATGAACAAGTGAAAAATGCACCAGCGAAGTCAAATGGACACAGATGGGACATGGTACAAAGGATCGGAAGTGTATACAGGCCTCAGAAGGGGACAGATGACCTCCGGATGACTCAGATGAATGCATGGAACTCTCAGAAGGTAAGAGGAGTGTCGAGGAGTATAATGTGAGATACCTATGAGTTTGGCAGGATACGAGCCCAATGCCGACCCGAGTGCTACAGTGCTCCAGACCTTTCTGAGGAAGAACCAGTTCACCTCCCTCCCAATCTCCCAGTGTGAGTAGCCAGGTGATAGAATCCAAGTCATTATTCCAGTCCACATGATAAATTTCACTCATCCCCTCCTTGATAGCAAACATGAAGAAGGCACCAAAAAAATCTAGCACTGGCCTGGCCAGGAATTCATCCTTGAGGATTTGGTACTTGATCAGTCTGTAGGCCTTGCAAAATACATGTAAGTTTTTGCTGCAGTAGGTCATGACTTCCACTGCTCACCTGTGTTAGCATTCCAACTGTTTTGGAGTGTATCACCAAAGTAGAGCTACTACCTTTGGAGCCAGATAACGCTGTATAGTAAATATAATGTCATCAATGACCTTCAGTCCTGCTGGCTTCTGCAGCCTAGTCTCTTGGATTATAACAGAATGTGATTGTTGGACTTGCCAGACACCAAAATGGTATACTGGTGTGGATGAGTGGTTGGCCTCGCTATGGCTAGTGTAATATTGGACCTACTTGACATCAAGCAACTTGATGACATCTTATACCTTGATGATAGCTTTTTGGCCTCATTTTGTTATTACATGGCAGAATCTTGCAGCCATAAAGGGAGGATGGAGAGGCTGAGGTCAATGTAAAGGTTTCTTGCGCTTAACCTTGGGAGGCATGATGCAGAATGATTCCTCAAGATCAAAGACAGGAAGCTGGTAGAGTGAAACACCATTTGGGTACTCTGTTTTCATAACTTTTTGAATATTCTTCTTATTCTTGGCTGCATGCACCAAGGCACATGGATATGCTCATAATTTTACAATACCTACATTAACTGTGTAAGGCTTGCCTAAGAAGGTGTCAAATGATATCCATTTCTCTGCTCATCTAGCCACCAAAGTGTTTTGGCCTGTAACCCAGTGTGAATGTATATCATCACTTTTTGCCACACTTTCTCTTGACTGGGATGCCCTTTGCATATCTTGAATTCTCTCCCATATTGGAGGCCCTGCTGTTTCTTTCTTTTAGCTACCATGATACTGGTATGAAGTCAGGCTGAACTAGTTATTCCATTATGAATTGTTATGTAACTATATGTTCATCATATTTCCCCATCTCTCATCTACATCTACTGAACTTGACAAAATTTTAGTTTTATATCTCCCATAAGCTGGAAGACTTGTGTCATGTTTTCAATGATGCACACTTCAAGATGCTTACTCAAAAATCTGGCAGCCTATTTGAGTGAGCTCATCTTACCTCAATTGCATCAAGATACCAACAGAGTTGGCTTAAATCCAATGGAACAGTTTGACATTGTAGCTATTGGAATATCTAACTCAGAAACACATCTCTTGGATGACATGTATGAACATATTTTGACAGACATTATTTCCAAGACAGAGCATAGGGAAGCGATCCAATATTTTGCTCTGTGATGGGGCAAATACTTGCATCATTAGAACTGGTTCCAATTACTCCCTTGACCGTAATGTGACAGCACTTTTCAAGTACTGATGGCTGTTACAAAGTGGACTGAGTCATTGAGCTATTGAGCTCACTGTTGACCAGCAATATGGATCTCCATACTCTGTTAATAGACAGACTGGTAAATCTGGGTTTGAATTTGGATAGTGTGTGTTACGACTGGGGTATGTCGAGCTGTCTTAGTCCGAGTGGACTGAGATTCGGCGAGACAGACGTGGTTCTTCTCTCGAATGAGAGGTCAAAGGTTTCTGGCTAAGGCAAGTATCGGCGACTTCCTTAGAATAGTGGTTCTTAGATAGCAAGGTTGGAGACCTTGCTAAAAGGACTTGTTCCAGGTAAAACCCAGTAGATTAAAGTGAGGAAATACATGTGGTACGCTATGTAACTATATAGCGTGAGTTCAAGCGGAGATCGTAAGTGCGTATCAAGATAGAAGGCGGACAGCCCGCTTGGTAAGTGATAACAGATAACAGATAAGAGATAGTAACCATGGTGCGGACAGCCCGCTTTGATAAGAGATAGTGGTCTAGACGTAGTGATGGTTACTGGTACGGAAGGTTAGTTTGGCGATGATATGAGTGAGGGTCTGGAAGGTGATTGGTCGTTCGTTAAGGGCAGTATGCATGTACCATTGTCCAGTATCGAAAGAGAAGCGAAGAGAATGAATATACCGTAACAGTGTGGGCTTTGAAGCTGTAATGTTGTAGCACTTGAGCTCGTGCTAGGCTTGTATTCTGCTATTTTCCAATGCATGTCAAACACCCGTTGTACATGAATCACTTCCTAATGTTATCTGACACTTACCTACTCAATCTAATGTTTATCCACTACTTGTCTCGCAAGTATAGCAGACTAGGCTGTGCAAGACCACAACTTTTATATTTGGCTGAGTGCTTACTGCATGTTGTGCTTAGCTATAGTTATTTATCTACAATGTGACCCATAGCCAATCTGAAAACTACAATTTCATTGAGAATATTGAAATTAATGTTTGAATATTGACATGAGGCAAACACAGTCATATTGTTAATCTATGTATTTACTCTATGACTCCAATGGAAGTGAACTCAATCATCTAAGCTGTGTGGGAAGCATCACTGGAAGGACTAGATTCATTTGCTCGCTCGCTGATACAAGAACAGCTCCCTACTGACTACATCAAAACCCTCAGTAGCAAAGATAAGACGGATGTGTTACATGCTTGCCTGCTTGTGTACATCCTTACAGCTACAACCATTTTTCCCTGACAATTTCAGCTGAAAGCCATTCTCGCAACATTGAACAGCTGTGACAACATAATTACAGCTGGTACAGGCTGCAGAAAGACCTTGTATCTCATAATTCCTAATCTACTTTATCCAAACACTATCAGTATGACAATTTCACCTTTGAAATATCTCCAGATCATACAGGTGAGATTCAGATTAATGTTGACTCATTATGTGCGATAATGAGCCTACAGCAGGTCAATGAATGCATGAAATATAGTATATCTACCATATCAATTAATGAAAACACCCCGAATGACATGTCACTTTTGCAGGTAAAGTTGACTCACATACTGTTACTAGTTTCTATGTATGGAGGACACTTGAACTCATTTACTATCAATATACAGTCAATTTGTACTAGGAAGGATGAGCATTTGATTGTTTCACCAGAACAATTGTCAATATTCAGAGGTCATCTACCACATCTTGCACAGTTCATTCACCAAGATGGAGCATTCTTCAAAAGAATCAAATGTGTTCATATTGACAAGCCACATAAAATCTATACAGCAGGGCTTGCACATCATGGCAAGAGGTATTTCAATTATCATATAGCAAGCTGGGGCAGTTTCATGTGTTACTGAGCAAGGACACAACATTCCAAGCTCTATCTGCAACACTTCCATCTTACATTCTCTCTGCTGTCAAATGTGAATTTTTGATTTGATCTGACCAAGATGTTAGTAGTTTCAGGAGCCTTTCCCTTACCTTGGTCATAGGCTATAAGGATGATGACATGCAATTCCATAGTTCTCTGGATCATGTCTATAAAGTCCTTCATTATTTTTTCTGGTTACAAGTATGGTATCTGTTGATGTATTATTGAGTTATGTAGCATGTATGCTAATAGAATGTTAGGAAAAAAATACCTGTCCTTGGTATCTGCAGGAGGTCCTTCTTGATTATATTTTTCTGCAACTTGTTCAAGTTTCTTCTTCACCTTAGGGGACATGGCCTAGTGCCACATGTAGGCCAATCTTGTTCTCTGACTCATAGACTTTGGGTTGGAGGTATCTCTGTGCTGCTTGTTATATTCTGCAAATTCATTCTTAAATAATTTTTGGACGACATCAAAACCAAAGAATTCTGTCTTGTACTTCCTAGCATGCTCAGGCTTATCATCTTCCCTCTGTCTCACCATCTCTACAGTCACAGTATCTAGAGCAGATCTGTCCTTAGTTTCTCCCTCAATGATCTCTTCCTCTGCCTTGTAATCCTCATCATCTTTTAAGAAGTCCAAATAATAGGCACAAATAGCCTGTATTGATTAGATTAGTATAGAACACAATTATAAAAGCTCACCTTCAACAGATAGTTGCAATAGAATCATACACTAATTTACTCAATATATATCCTCTTTAATTTTCACTCAGAGTCAATAGATCTTGTATAGTAAAGATTAATATATATTTCAACTGCATTTTCAGTAATTACAACAACATATAGTAGGTCAAGAATAGTAGACACTATCAGTAGTGTAGTATTTGATCATGTGTTTGTGAAGTTTGTAAGACCTGTGGTGTCTTATGGCACCTTATGAACCCTTGTGACACCTGTGATGAAATTGGTAGTTTGTTAATGAAAGAAGGGTGGGATTATGGAGAGTGGCTTAAATTATAGTGCAGAGTATGCATGAGCAAATGGTTCTCAATGTTGGATGATGACAAAGACAAAAGACTAGTATCTTGAAGTCTGTGCTAGCACCAATGTTTAGGAGACTGGTGACAGGTATACATCAGACATGATAAATGTGTGCATAGACCAATGGACTCACATGGTGTATGACCTTGCATTTATAATCTTGATCATCATTATTTTATTTGGAGCTTCCATGACCTCAGTCTCACTACTTGCCATATGAAGTCAATACAAAGCATCTAACCATTATACATACACTAGTGGCATAGCTTGAAAACAATCTTTATAGTACTCCTTTCTCCCCTAAATACCCCTACAGACACTATGAAACCAAAAGCAATTCCACTCTCCTGGCTATCCACAAGACACATTCCATCAAACTAGTACCCCTAGGTTTACCATTGGTACCTAGTACTAGGCAAGATATATCATCCAAGTCCATCAAACCATCTCTGCTTGGGGAAAAAGACAAATTAGAGAACAAACCAGTTGTATATGCTTCTACTACTGCAGATTTGGAGGCCAGCCCATTACATAATGCCTGCTAGCAGTCCTTTATTTCTGGCTGCACTACCTTGAGTATGTTCACTGAGAAATTTTAATCAACAAATATTCTAATCAGATTGAAGATGTATGTAAAGTATTGAATTACTTGTCCAAACCAACTTTACACGAGTTCCACATGGTGTGTGCTCTTGAGCCTTGAGCTATCAAAACATTATATTCATATGCTTATAAAATATTACAGGGATATCATGGTATTGGAGTGAGAGAATTCAGATTAATAGAAGGCATTGTGGGAGAAATAGCCCAAGTATTGATAAAGCCCAGGCAAGTTCAAAATTTGCATCTAACTGTTTCAGGTATGGCTAAACTTATATATAAGCTGGCTTACTATTACAAGTCATACATCCTCATCATTAACATTCCCACAGTTTTTCATGACTTGACCTTTGACATCCTGAGAGTCTTCATCAATTATTTAATTGATGGTCTTCCCTATGATCCTAATATCATCACTCCAATGATTTACATGGGTTGGCTGCTGAAGATCCTGGGGGCATTTATTATGTCAGACATAAGCATATCACTCGTCCCTGTAGAGAAATGTCCAGATGAAGTTCTGATCCCTTTCTTCAGGAAGTGCACATTCTCCAAGACTAATGCACGTGTTTTTCAAAAGGCAGAAAACATGGTTTTGGTACATCTGGAGGTGAAGTGAGTGACTGTGATGCTAGTTCATGAAGCAACAGAATATGCCCCTCCTGATCAGAAATCCACCATCTCAAATGTCCTCTTTGGCAGCACTGATAGTAACCTCAAACCCCTCACCCTTGGTGAATTCCTCAATCAATGCAATACCCCATGTTCATTCGGCAAACCCATCATGATTGGAGGCCACACTTGGTGTCATCTCTCATCTATGGAATTTTTTATTTGGGTGAAGAGAGATGATGAACCACCAATTAATGTCTGTTCCAAAGATCCTGTAGACATGGTGTATGGGATAAGTGTTTCTGTCAATTTTATGCTTTTAATTCAATGTATAAACTTAATGCAGACCTTGGTGCCTGAGATAGACATAGATGCAGTTACGGAAATGCTCTCACAAGGACTGACCAATATCAGAAATTCCTTTGTTGCTTTCCAGAAGAAGCTTGAGCCTAGCCTCAATTGCACTGCCCTTACAGAAACCTAAGTCAGGTCCCATGCTAACTGGGTTTTGGCATCGAAACAGATCATGACTGCATTAGATGTCACTGCCCGCATACAATATCTCACCTGGTATGATGCATGCTTTGACATGGAGAGTGACCACTCTGGCTTAGTATGACACTGTAAACTGGATGCTTACCTATGACGCACATATGACACACTTCGATGATGCAGCCAACATACCTTATGATGTATCCCCTTTGTTGATTGGACCCCGCATATACATCTGAGTAGTATATATACAGCCATGTATACAGTTAGACATCATCTGATCTGTACCCCTCGAATCATATATGCTCACCCATGTACTTGCTGTCTGAACTGTCTCCTAGTGTTGGTCATCAATAGTGACATCCTTACACTTTTTTTTTATGTTCACTGAGCGTAACCTAAACTGATATGACCATCTATTGCCACTGTAACACCAATACCAACTATTGGGTGTAGACTGCTGGTCAGCCCATCATTTTAGATGACAAGCTGCCTTTCCACTGCTCACGACCTACTGTGCCCTTAGCCATTATGACACGGGGTCACAGCAAGCAATTGTCAACACCCATTGAGATGACTATGGAAACAGGACCAACAGTGCCAACCTCTGTAGCTTCCTCGTTAACGTCCATTAATTCTGCAACAACCCCTATACCTTGCCTGTCTAACTCCATTAATACTAGACGTCCCCAACCTCATATACGCACAAACAGTAACTCCGACTCAGACAGCAACATCGAGGCACCTGCTATGTCAGCAACCGTGAAGTTCACGCATGTCGAATCAGCTTCAGTGAGCAAACCACCGGTCCTCACCGCAGGAGAACTCACACCTGAAGTCTTACGCTCATGGGAGATGGGTTGTACCCAATTCTTCCTATACAAGGAGGTGAAAGACATTGAAATAGTGAAGAGAGTTGCATGGGGTATGCAGGAACCGGTGTAGGGATTCATTTCTGGCTAGGCTTGTAGAGACTGTTTTACCTTACCTTATGTTGGCACTTTGTAGCTTACATAAGAAAGTTACCTTTTCACCAGTTCTACTATGAGTCTGAGTATTCAGCAAGTTTCTATCATATTTCCTCTTCTCTGAGCCTTGAGCCTGGTCCAGAAACCATTTAGGGTCGAATAGCAGCTAGGTTCTGCAAGACCCAACATTGTTCAGACTAGTGCTGCCGCGGTCCGGTCCAGAACCACGGTTCGAACCGGACTTTTGGTCCGGTTCTCTGTGGTTCGGTCCATGGTTCCCTCACCAGCCAGAACCGGACCGGAAAACGGTTTTGGGTTCTGGACCTTCACTAATGGTCCGGTTCTGGTTCGACTTTCCCGAACCTTCCCGAACCGTTCCTTGACTTCGAATTCCCTCAACTTCGACTTCAATAACGACGACGTCGGTGTCCATGTCGACATCAAAGCATCGTCTTCGAGATTTGCATTATTTGTTAATCGGGCTACTGTTAGCCTTTTTGAAGGTAAGTACTAATCAATCTACTCTCAAGAACTCTTACTGACTGACATATGTTCACCTATATCACAGATATCTACATGTTCTAGTCTATATGCTTCCTGGATAAGCATGATCCTCCACCGGTTGTCATCTCTAACAGATCTCCTTGGATATTGTTGCTCTGTGGTGTTAGGGTCTCCTCCACACATAAAACGAGGTGCTAACAAAAAACTTGTGAGTTATTTGCCTCATGATGTCTGAAGACTGCTGCGCTCTGAACGCTGACGGCACCCTTAAGGATGCTTCTGAAATTACCTTCTTTAACGATCCTGACGATGAAGTACCATTGCCCCAACCATCCTCTTCCACTACATCCGCAAAGGACGCCTTCTCCATTCTGCTCAAGGCTGGACGCACCCCAGCAACAGTTGCAGCTGGATCTAGGCGCTCTGGCCGGCCCTCAAAACCGTCAGCTCGTATTCGCGATGTGGACAATGCCTGCGGTCTGTCTTCGTCAACTAACCCAAGGAAACGTGCTTTATCCAGCGCTACGGATCATCCACCACGCAAGAAAACTGCCATGCGAATCTTATCTCCTCTTGACTCCGAAGATGAAGAAATACCCTCTACACCTGATCTGGGAGAGTCGTCTGCTGACGAGCTGATCCCCCAACCAGAGGTCGACGATGAAGTTGATGAATCTAAATCCGAGAACGGGTGCACCACTACTGTATGTACTCGTTTATTGTTTTCCTTGAGTCTCAACTAAGACCTGTATTTAGCTTTCAAAAAGCGAACGCACAGCGGACGTTAGGACTATATTTACCCGTTTACCTGATGGGTGGGTGTGTACACTATGCAAGTAAGTGGTCCATATTGTTTTTGATATGTCGTTTAATAACTTTCAAACAAGGGCCGCTGGTGAACCAGTGCAGAAGCACACATTTCGTGGAGGTACTTCGACACTTTGCACCCATATTGTCCGTTACAAGAAGTCGCATTTTCAAGTCTACAAGGAGCGTTGTGACGCCGCAGGCATCACAATGCACTCTCGTGCAATCCCACCTGGAGAAGACGACATCATGACACAATCACAATCAACTCTCGATGGCAAGCTTGTTTGCAAACCACCTGCGTTCACCAAGGAAGGCTTGCTTGAATATATCATGGAACTTATCGTGACAGAAGACGAGGTACGTTGTTTTTATATATATATTGTATCAATTTATTCACATCACACCAGGCAATACAATTAATTGACAAGCCAGCATTTCGGCGTTTATTACAGTATGCGCGTCCCACCCTAACTGAAAAGGACATTCCGCATCGCACCAAGTTAACGGAAACAATCAAGTCTTGAGCAATGACTGTGGTCGAAAATATCAAGGAGCGTCTAGCGGTGAGTCTTGACCTACTTATATTATGGCATCAGTCTTACAATATTTCATTAGCATATTGACAGTGCGGTGTCCATGACTTTCGATTCATGGACATCGATAATCGGCGAACCATTTTTTTCGGTTACTGGACATTATATTTGGAGCCCTGCTGGCAAACCGCTGCAGTGGGAGCTGAGAAATGAGCAACTTGATTTCATGCGGATTGAAGGCAACCATAGCGGCCACAACATCAGCAATATACTCGTTACGACGATAGATAGGTATGATATTCGCAATAAGGTATGTTTCCCAGAGTCTGGCTTCAGCTGTGGATTGACTTCGCTTGCATAGGTTGGATGGCTGACGTCGGACAATGCCTCAAATAATGATACCGCTATGAGTGAAGTAGCAAAGGCCATAGATGCAGATGGTACCCACTGGCTTCCAGGTCCCCGTCGCATCCGCTGTCAAGAGCATATTTTGAATCTTGCAGCGCGACATTTTGTTGACGGAGTCGCACCCACCCCACAGGCAACCTTACTATGCAAGATCCGTCACGCTATCGATTATGACGAGGATACTGACATCACCAGCTTAACTGAACAACTTGCAGCATTGGAACACGACCCTGAAGCTATTGTTGAGGATGGTTTTGATGTCGGCGATGCTGTTGGAAAAGCATTGGCACTCATTGAACAGGTAAAGTCCTCTCTTTTTGTCTTCGAGTTCTCATTGACACAACCAATAACTAGATCCGTAAATCACCGCAAGCTCAAGCATTTTTCAAGAAATCATGCGAGGAAGAAGGTGTTGCCGTTCGTGAGATTCTGACATGGGTGAGAACACGCTGGGCTTCCTTGTTCAAGTGCCTCGAGCGCTTCTTGTCTCTTCGCCTGGTAGGTGAGATGTACAACTGCCGGTTTAGTATCTAACATCTTTCAGGCTGTCAACCGCTTCACTCTACTTGCCGATGAGAGCCATGAGGTCCCAAAGTTGCGCAACAAGTCATATAGTGACTTCAAGCTTGATCGAGCCGACTGGAGGAAGATACGGCTAGTGCATGACGTCCTCAAGGTACTTATTTGTATATCTGTTTTTATTTTATTTACTGATTGTTATAGGAACCTGCAACTGCACAGCAATCATTCTCGTCGGTCGCGTACCCAACAGCCTGGCAGAATATACCTACACTAGAGTGTCTCGCTAGCGCATGGGAGACGATGGCAAGAAATCCAGAATACGCAATAATCGCGGATGCCATTACGAAGGGTCTCAAGAATGTTGAGAAGTACTACCAGAAAGCTAGTGACTCGGATGTCTACTTTATCTGTCTAGGTAAGTATCGAGTTTTCGCTCAAGTCCATGTCTCATTTTGTTACAGTTCTTGACCCCAACTACAAGTTAGCATATGTTGAACGGCGATGGACTGAGATGAAGGTCGTGGATGGGAGGGCTCGTCTTCAGGCGGTGGTGAGTACTATTCAACCTTAAGTATCCTGGCGGTCTCTAACTTCAGATGGATGCTTAGTTTGACAAATATTATCAAGCGCCTCCAGCCCCAGGACTGCAACCCAAGGAGCCATTGGCCATGTCAACAACGAAAGCTTCAATTTGTTATGGTGCTTCCTGGATGCGCGACGCTATCATGGAACGTCAAGCTACAGACCATCGCACGCGCGATCCTCATCAAGAGCTCTCCGCATACCTTACTTCACCATTGGAGGAGACGGATGACGTTGTCGCGTGGTGGGGTGTAAGTCAGCCCTCAAATTCATTGTTCCCCGCTTACATCCTTGATCAGTTACATTCAATGCAATATCCAACGCTAGCTCGTGTTGCGCGTGATTACCTGCCCATTCAAGGCAGTGCAGTCCCATCAGAACACGCTTTCTCCAGTGCGGGGATCACATCGACTCTGCGCCGCAACGCCCTCGCACCATCCACATTCTCCGCGCTACAATTAATGAAGGCAGCCTATAAGAATGGTCATGTGTCAGCGGCAGTAGAGGCAGAAGAGTACGCAGCTGGTGTGTCATTAGCCTAGCTACCCAATGTCATGTAGATGTATTGTGAATGTTTTTCCTTGCTGCTTGAAAAATTTGCGGTTCGGTTCACGTTCGGACCGCAAAAAAACCGAACCGGACTGTTAAGAACCGTTCTTGATGGTCCGGTTCTGGGTTCGACAATTTTGTAGAACCGGACCATGGTCCAGTTCTCGGTTCTCGTCCAGGGCCCTCTGAACCGGACCGAACCGGACCACGGCAGCACTAGTTCAGACTCACCATCTGAATTGTTGTACCTTCAACTGGAGCCCACCGCGAGGGTTTCTTGTGTTTCTAGGCTCTTCCAGCTCTCCAATCATCCCCCAAATTCGCCTATTATCCTACCACAGTCATTCCTTATCAGCTTCTCCCACAATTCCCAGTTTTCAGCATCTTCTTCTCCTCTCCAGCGCACTGATAGGTGTTTTTCTCACGCATTTTTCGAGCGGATCTCTCGCAAACTTAGGGTCGTATTCCCCACGTCCGTCCAATCATTTTGAGCCCTGGCTCATCGAATTTGGAGCAGTAGTTGTGGAGTTATCGAGTTTTTGGTGTTTTTGAGAAGTTGAGGGGAGATAAGGGTTTTCTGGGTGCTCAAAGGCCTGTGTCTTTTAGCTCTTTTGGCCATTTACCATCCTTCAGTGGCTCTGTCCATTGCCCCAATCTGCTTCTTGATAGGACCAGCTCTTGTTGCCCTGCACCATACCCCTTCCTCCTCCTCCCTCTTGCACCTCCGCACTTTTTCGCACTTTCACCAGCCCATTTTGCCTCGGAACCCCATCGACCCTATACCCGTTTTGAAGCCCTCATTTATGGCTTTCATTCGCGCCCATCGCCGCCCCGATCCGCTCTGTCGTTCGCCCACCATTCGCGTTTTCCGCCGCCCCTCTATTTTATCACACATTTACACCATTTTATCTATATCTCCTCGCCCCTCGATCGCGCACCTATTAACCCTATACTCGTTCTGACCGCATTCGCCGCCGCTTTCCATCCGTCCGCTCCGCTTCCAGATACGTCTGCGCGTTCCTCCGCAATCCGCACTTCTCGCGTTTCCCTCCATTTTCCACCATTTCCTTCATTTCTCACCCAGTTCTCCACCAATCCTAGTCGACCCTATACTCATTTTGAAGCCCTCGTTCGCCTCTTTCTATCCGTCTACTCCCCATCGTCGTCCATGCAACCATCATCGCGTTTTACATCACTTTATCGTCGCTGCTCCTCCAGTACTCAAAGCAAAGTCTGGAGATTATCGTTTTATCGCATTGCCTGACCCTCACTCACTGGCGCAGTTTACCTGGCATACGCGTCAAGGAAACAAAAGGTGTTTGAGGACCCCCAGGTTAGTTTTCTTAGTTTAGCTTAGCTTTGGTTTGCATAGGTAGATGACTGGGGACAGTCATGATTCAAAGTTCCCATGAGATGTAGGGATTCATTTCTGGCTAGGCTTGTAGAGACTGTTTTTACCTTACCTTATGTTGGCACTTTGTAGCTTACATAAGAAAGTTACCTTTTCACCAGTTCTACTATGAGTCTGAGTATTCAGCAAGTTTCTATCATATTTCCTCTTCTCTGAGCCTTGAGCCTGGTCCAGAAACCCTTTAGGGTCGAATAGCAGCTAGGTTCTGCAAGACCCAACATTGTTCAGACTCACCATCTGAATTGTTGTACCTTCACCGGTTATGCAGGATTGGTACGGCAACAACCAAACTCGTCTAGATGCACTTACATTTAAGGATTTCATGATTGAACTGCATGCATACCAGCTCCCATCAGGATGGGTTGACACTGTTCATAGGAAGATGCTGGGTTTGACACAGGGACAATGATAGTGTTGTAGTGATAATTGACTAGACACTTGGTAGAATTTTCACATTTTGGTCATGTAACATTTCTTGCATATATTGCTATTATTGAGGATATTTATCAATGGTCTTGTGGCAAAGTGGTGATTATGCTACACTTCTAATTGCTGTGGTCTTGGGTTCAATTCCTGCCAAATGCAAATTATAATATGAGAAACATCATCACATGATGTGACATGTGGTATGACTTGCACCATAGGGTGGTGCCACTTCTTTTGGCCTTTGTGCTCGAAAATCCACAAGCCCATAAGGAGTACAAGGTGATCTTGTGTAGTTTGTACAAGCCTGTACAGCAGGGACTTAGCTATGGGCTTGTACAAACTTGTACAAGGGCCCACTAGTTTGCTGATGCAGAATACTTGCCTTCCTTTGACGAAGACTAACCATGTATTGTGAGACTATGTTGAGACCGTGCACAAAGGGTAGGACTGATTCTGAAGGGCTTGGCTTCAGCTCGTGCGCTGCACCCCTTACCCGAGTATGTACCCTTAATTGCAGATGACATCCGGAGGAAGTCTGTATGACTTCCAAAGGAGCGCAGGAAAGTCTGGAAGGACTGTCCGGATCCGGATGAGTGCAAGGAACTTCCAGAAATTACTATCAGGTTTCGTCCTAGTACAGATATGTGTAATGGCTACTCAGGATGAATCCTGAGTAGAATGGAGACAGAGGAAAGGCTGCAGGGACAAAGTCCAAAGCAGAATAGGTCCAGAGGACTGTGGGAAAGTTTCTGAAGGAACTTCCGGAAACTCAGAGGATCGGAGGAGCAGAGGAGTGGAGCTCCAGCCTAGGGAATTCCTCCCTAGGCCTGAGATGGATATTGACTAAGTCGGAGGACTAGAACTAGTATGAGGACTTAGTGTGAGATCTAGTGTGAGGACTAATATGTGTAATATTCAGACTAAGGAAATACAGGAGTTTCTACAGGGTTTATATACTACGGAGGACATAACAGAGAATCAGTCAGTGCAGTGCAAGGCTATGTGAGGCTATGGACGGAGCATGTGGAACACCTAACACTAGTGTATTGGAACTTAATAAAATGAAGACGGAAATGAATCAGGTACAGAAAATAAAGCAGTCGGTTATAGGGATAACTGGATGTCTGGAAACAGGTGATTACCATAAGGGGATGAGCGCTGATTTAAGGTTTGGGTTTGGATATGAAGCATAGGTCGGATTCAGAGATCCTAGCAAGTGGATATCAGATTGAGTGTCCAGGTTTCAGATCCGGATGTGTGGATATGCAAAGGTGCAGGGATCTGGGTGTACAGGTATATGGATAGATAAAGGACATGAACAGGGGGTCCGGAGGTCTGGATGAGGCGTGGGAACATTGTCAGATGTAGGTCCAAAATACGGGATATGACAGACTATGACTGAGAGGGATGGGTTTCTGATTGACTTTCCAGCAATTGTTGGATGTTCTGACCATGGCTGTGTGCCAAGCTTGTGGTCATGACCGAACTTGTGGCTCACAGCAGCTCGCATCTTCTGTGCAGTGCCATATGTTGCACACAGGAAATTCAGAGGCTTTGCTTTGCTAGTCCAGATATCATTTTCATCACATCTATGAATGCCAAGTCAGTCATGTGCAGCACAAAGAAGTCCAAATGGTAGTACAACTTACTTATTCATTATCCAAAGTGCAATCCACATGGGAAAGTTGGCAGAAAGATTAGGATAGAGGCCATCAACATCGTCAGGCAACACAACCTTGTTTATAGTGACACAAAAGTCCTTGAATTAGTTCCAGCAACTGTGCTATGTGTTAACAAGGTTTGCAGAGAGAATAGTATGACATGTACTGCTGATAATCTGACAGAGTGGTGTTAACAATGACACCTGCTGAGGCCGTTTCAAGGCTCGCTGATAGTTGGTCATGGTACACTGGGATGGCAGTAGGTGTCCTCTTATATTTTGATGGCAGGGTGTCAGTTTCATTTGTGCTGATGTGCAGTGTGCCACAGGCAGCCTTATTGTCAACATCGAAGCTATTGAGGAGGGATTCTACCTCCTCATCTTGGTCTTCAGCTGCAGCTTCGACACTAATCCCTTGGGAGTCAATGAGATAAGCAGTGACACCTTTGAGTTGAGCTAGAGACATAGCGAGTGACAAGTGTAGGTGTGAGACGGCTCAGACTAGTTCACATGTGGATGCTTCTGACATAGTGCAGAAATGTTTTAGTTTGGTTTGCATTTAAGTGTGAGAGCTACTATTTGACACACCTTACTCACTCTGGGCAAAATCATGCCGGAATCTAGTAATGAAATACTCTGCCTACCCATCCTCGGCCAAGAGTACACACCTGGAACACCACTCATCATCTATTAATTCCTGGTGTAAGCAGATCCAGGCCCCTAAGACGTGCACAGCATACTGAAACATTAGTTGAATTTGCTCACCAACAGAAACCGAAGAATGACAAAGGCCGATGTCTGAGAGAAGCTCAGGCAGTACAGAAGGCCGGTGAGTAACCAAGAGGAATTATTGCAGCACCTTCAGGTGTTCTCTAAGGATGAGAAGGAATAGCTGAGGTGTGCAGCATCGAGATTGAGCAGTATCTGAGAGTATGCTGATTGACCTATGAGTATTGCAGCTTGTTCCAGCAAAAGCTTAAGCAAAAGCAGGGGGAACATACCTCTCACAAGACCTTGTCCTGCAAACGGGTCAAGGATACATTTGGGGCAGTGCCACCAATTCTCACTTACAAAAGCAAAAAGAGTGCAGATTGCACTCAACATGCTCTAACTGATAAGGATCACACTGCGAACACATCATGGGTTAGATCTGCACTGAAAACAACAAAGAAGATATTGCTCACTGCCACCATTCTTCTGTCACATAGGCTACAGCCATCTTCTCGGCATTCAGAATGCCAGCTGACTTCAGTTGTGTGCCAGCCCTTCCAAAACACAGACGGACACAGGTAGAAACAGTCCAAGAGACTCCTGAAGTGCTGGTGGACACAGAGCTGACAGGGTCTGGTTCCCTACATGAACAGGTAGACAAGTTTTGTCAATTATTCAAGAAAACATGACCTCACCACCTGCTGACTTATGTAGGAGTCATTTGCTGTCTGTATGTGAAGAGTCAAGAACAATATACAGTCAGTCAGAGACAACATATACAACATCGAAGGTAGTATCAACAATGTGACCACTCATATCATGGATGTGAAGTCATTGGTCTGCCACTCCGCACTGTCTCCGGTTCACGAGAGCCATCATGTTCCCCACCATGCACAGCCTATGGGTCAAGCTCAGGCTGCTCATACAGCTACTGCAGTGCTACCACTGTCAAGTCAACAAGTCAGTTCACCCCCAGGCCATTTGGATTTTTGTGCCGTACCTCAGCAGTCCATTCCCTCAGCTAAACTTGGAGTTGCTCTGCTTAGTGATGAACAATTTGAGTATGACAAAACATGAGTCCCAGAGCCACCAACAATTCACCTTTCGAAGGATATTGACAGGTTGTGTGCGGAGTGGGAGAGTTCAAACTTGCTCTGTGTGGGTGGTCGCAAAATTTCTGTAAAACACTAGGGTGAGTTCTACAAAAGAGCAAAGGGGGTCAAAACGACAGCCTGGGATGCTCTAAGGGTTGAGTGGGGGAATTGGAAGGTGTGTTCTCACTTTGATTCACCGCAAGTGCCACTTTCTCAATTAATTAAAACTTTTGTCTAGTTCATTGCCGAGGAGCACCAGCATTACCTGGACACTGCCTCATTCTGGAATGCATTCAGTGATGGAAATGGCAAGAGGTTTTTGTATCAGCAAATCCTTAATGGCATCGCAGAGCAGCGGACTTCAGCAGCAGCTCAAGATGCAAATAATGCACACACATTTTTTGGTGGAAATCTTGACCATCCATTGGCTCAGGGTTCATTCCACTATGCCAAGGGTAGCAAGACATATCTATTGAGCAAGGATGATGCCGTTGCAAAGAAGTGGCGTAAAATTCTCACGACATGGCCAGACATCTCACTGAGTGCTACTACTAGCAGTGCTTTAACTGTTCAATCCTCCTCTCAGTAGTGTTCTCAATCTTCAGCCTTTTTTTTCCCTTTCTTTCACTCATATATAAACCTAACAGACACTGCTGCTCCATATATAACTTGTGCATCTGTATCCCAGACTGCTGGTACACTTCTATTTGACTATACTACAGCATATCCAAGTCCTAATCAAGTACCATACTTTAGCAGGCCTCCAATCCTCGCAGGCCTGCATGGCATTTACCTATGATGATGAATGTCAGCTCCAGTTTTGCCAGATGTCATCAATCACCTGGTCAGAGAAAGAAATAGCCATCACAAGCTCACCATTTATCTATGACGATGAACGTCAGTTCCAGTTTCCAACTTCTCATGCCAGATGTCATCGATCATCCCTCGTCCCTTGTCGTTGTCGTTGAAATGGTTGGAGAAAGAAATGGCCGTCATTGGACTAACTCACTTGTGATGTCCTTGATTCCCTCTCTGCCCACGACAAACGAAGGTCAGATTCAGAAAGGCCATCTCAGAAGAATATCACTCACATTGGTGCAGTCCCATTTATGCTTGCCAAACTTGTTGATCATTCAGCTGTGATAGTCAGAAAGTCAAACGGTGTGTCACACGTAGTAAGAGATGGAGTGAACTCACATTGAACTAGTGAAGGTACCTCATACCATGCAGCATGCCGATCCCAATGAATAAACAAGAGAGGGCCACAGAGGGACAGCATGGAAACTTGTTGATCGTTCAGCTGTGATAGTCAGAAAGTCAAATGGTGTGTCACACGTAGTAGTACTAAGAGACAGAGTGAACTCACATGAACCATCTAATGAACAATCGAGAGAGGGCCACAGAGGGATGAGCATGGACGGAGCACTCACGAGCCTCTCCTGTGTGCCTAGCAATGATGAGATGATGAATGAGCAGCACAGGCAGCTGCCAGATCGAATGGAATCCAGTTGGCACTCAAGTACTCACCAACAGCACTGCCTGATTTTTGTCTGGCCTGTTGAATCCTGAATGAGTCTTGGACGCCAATTGTGCTGATTGTCCCGATTGTTGGTGGTCGAGGTCCAGGTGGAGCACGATTGGCAATCAAGCCTAAGGAGGAAGGCAGTGCTGTGGCTGAGTCGTCACATGTCACGTTTGCAGTCTAGGGGAGACTGCAAACCGTCACTGAAAGGACTGTCAAATTTTCACATGAAGTTTCACTTCAACCAGCTTCAGTACTGTCCTGTCCCATGCAATCGGCAGCCCACAGAAGTCAGCAGTCATGCAAATGTCACTGAAAGTCACGACATGTCACATAGGTCAGTTTCAAAGTCAGCTCGGCAGTCAAGCAAGAGCGCAAGGAGGTCGTTAGTATTCGGTGTGAGCAAGCAAGTACAGTATTTACTAGTAGAATCTAAGTATGGAGGGTGACCATGATTAGTACCATAGTTGTAAAATTGAGGGGGATGTGTAGGGAGACCATGTACATTGTGTGGATACTAAGGTTGTCTATGTAAATTTGATGATGATGCAATGGGACTGCCGGATGGATTATTATGTAGTATAGTGCATTGAAGAATAAGATGGTGCACAGAGAGCTGGATTAGGATAGAATTGATGAAAATATGGCTGGTTGGTAAATCACATGATGAATGACGACTCACATTTTGCTCCTTTGCGGCAGCTGCAACAGATTTATATAGCCCATTTGCAATTCCCTGAATTGCAGCTCGAATGCATGACTCATATGTAGGGTCTGATGAAGCTCACAGCTTTCCTCGTCTCCCACTGACAGATTTGCGAAGGCGGACCAGCCCCATGACCAGCAGCACAGCACCAGTTGGCACTGGTGCATGCAATATTGAAACTCCATCATGGCACACATTAATGGTATTCAAAGTTAAAAAAGATAAAGAAAAGACAACATCTGGAAAGTTGCAAAACGCTATTGAAACTCCAAATTATAACTCCGTTTTGCTTACGCATCACTATCATACTACGCTGATAAGATCAGCCCACCGCTATGCCTCACATATCGCTTCGAAAACAACAACTATGAGCCCTCAAAAATACACACGATGACCTTATATTAGCTCACTACATCGAGCTTGTGCAATATGCACTTGATGAGCTTTTGGAAGAACCAGATTCCGAAGATGACAGTTACAGTGTCTCCTCGAATGACAGTGGTGGATCCATCAGCATGTCAGTTTGTTCAATGTCATCGGATGCATCTTTGGACACCCTGATGTCGGGTGTCACAATCACAAGTGCCTACTCCTCCCAGCTCTCGTCAGATAGGCCACAGATGGCCGGTTGAGCCTTTATGGAGTTTATAGATGCTGTTCGTGCTTTGGCTGATGAAGTAGAGACCAGCCGTATTCTTAATGCGAGACCCAAACTTAGCCGTGCCCCACAACTGCACCTGCTGCCAGAATGGGGTATGCATGCCCCCGATAAATTTTTGCGAAAGCTTCGTGTGTCCCCTGCTGTTTTCGACAAACTCATTGAACATATCCAGCCACACGCAATCTTCTACAACAATTCGAACAACCCACAGCTTCCTATTCCTATTCAACTCGTGATTTTTCTCAACGGCATAGGCCACTATGGAAATGCTGCCACGATGCAGGATCTGGCTGAATGGGCAGGAGTGTCCATTGGAACCATGTACAACTGTTTCAAACGAGTGATGATTGCAATTTTGAAGCACCATGACGATGCGATCTGCTCGACCGAGAAGATCAGGAGGAACGGAAAAGGGCACAACAGTGGGTTGAGGGGAGGACATGCCAAGAATGGCGTAGTGGCTTCCTCTGCATCAATGGCACTCCTTTCAACTTATTTCAGAAGCCTGGGTGGCACGGGGAAGGGTTTTTTGACAAAAATTTGAACTACTCTCTTACTGCTCAGGTACATTTTTTTTTTTTCATTTCATCAGATGAGCTTACACCTTCTAAAGGTCATTATTCTCCTGCACAATCTCCGGATTGTTGACTATGTGATTGGCATACCTGGTAGCCTTCACAACTCGAACATTTTTGGACAAACGAGGGTCGCACAAAACCCAGATGATTTTTTCAGTGTGAACCAGTGGCTGTGGGCTGACTCTGCGTACACCTCGCAAGTATGGTGTGTCACACCATTTAAACGACCCCCTGGGGGGGGGCGTTGACAAGGGATCAAAAAACATTTAACTATCACCTTTCTAAGGTGAGTACCCCCTCTTGCAGATGAATGGCTTTGGAAAATTGTTCTCTTGTGGATGAATGGCTTTGGAATGTTGTTCTCCTGCGGATGAATGGCTTCAGAATATCGTCCTCCTGCGGATGAATGGCTTCGGAATATCGTCCTCCTGTGGATGAATGGCTTCGGAATGTCATTCTCCTGCAGATGAATGGCTTCAGAATGTTGTTCTCCTGCGGATGAATGGCTTCAGAATATCGTTCTGCTCAAGTTTAAAACATCACTTACATATTTGTAGGTCCGCATTCGGTCTGAACACTTTTTCGGTTCAATCAAAGGCCAATTCCAGAGCCTATGAGAGCTTTGGTTTCTGATCCAAGGCAAGAAAGAACTGGATTACTCCAATATGTGGATCCGCTGCTGTCTGATTTTGCACAACTTGATTATTGAGATCGAGGAGACTCTCGGCATTGCAAGTACTGGTAACAATTTCTACGAGGAGCTGACTGGGCAGAGGATGGATCTGAACGTGGATGAGGACGAGGTGGGGCAGGGTGATGAGACTTATATTGGGACAGCAGGACAAGATTTTTGCAATGCTTTAATGGCACATTTACTTCTCATGCTCCAGTAGACGTAGCGGCGAAATTTGTGTATTAAAACACTGGCAGTACTCGAACAACATCTAATTATCAACAAAAACGTGACAATGATAACGTGTGAAGTAACAAACCGAGAGGACATGCAACAAGCAACGCACGAAGATGACAACATGATACTCAATCTTGGTCTGGCAAGCCCCGCTCCATTGCAATACGCCGAATCCTTGCCTCCTCCTCTTCTTGATGTGCACGGGTGAGCTCAAGCTCAAGCCTTGCATGCTCCAGTTGGTGACCCATGAGCTCATGTTTGTGTAAGTGGTCTTGCTCAGCAAGATGCATAGCGTGTTCTCGTTCGTCATGAGCATTGTGCACTTTGAGTTCTCTAGCCCACATGTCACTCTCAAGCTTCATCCGCTTATAACGATCATGCTCGACACAACCATCACGCTTTTCACCAACTTGCTGGATCAGCATCTGCGCTGTTTCAGAGAGCCACTCGGCAGCAGCAGTAGTTGAAGCTTGATCGTTGTTGGCGCGTTTACATGATGGAGGATGGGACAAGGTAGCTTGAGGTGATTGAGGCGATGTGCTATGAGTAGTTCCTCCAGATAGCTTCATGATTTGTGATCCCGGATGTCCTCAACAAGGACTTGCTTTACGTGAATCAACCCGCAAACAATTCATTGCATTGCTGGCACTGATATCAGAGTCAGAGTCATGTGGCGTGGTGTTGTGGTTGGAAGTTGGTTGCTTGAAGCTTGAAAAAAAAGAATATTGGCTGTCGGATTGGTCATCATGTGGAAGCTCCGGTGAATTGAGTGATATCACATCTTGGTCGGAATAACATGTTGAGATCGGAGTGATGGGTGGGCGAAGACGCGGCAAGGAAGTGTATGAGCCTGTAGAGGTAGATCCATGAAAAAACCCGGGGGTTGATGATGAAGAGCTGGAGAAAACTGGTGCTTGTTGCACATGGAAGAACCGATGTAGCACTCAAGCTCATGCTAGGCTCGTATTCACTGATTTCCCGATACACGTTCAATGCCTGTCACTATCCAATGTAACCCGCACAACCCGATGCAAACCCGACACTTTGACTAGCGGACCCGATGTTTCGGCCGCATCGGACCTGATATTTTCCCACGCACTTGTCCTATCTGTGTCCCGTTATGTCTGCTAGCCCCACTAGGTGCGTAGTTGATTATTTTGCACATTACTCACGTCATAGCAAGTGCTATTACATGTTTTCCCATCATCCGCAGCGCCTCATGTTAGTTTACATGTACTTCGGACCCGAAATCGTCGGCCGCTACTTTCGCCTATAGGGTTCCGGATTTCTATGTACTTATATATATATTGGACTGACTACGAGTATTTTCATTATCCAAGTAGTAGGGAGCCATTCCCCGATACTTAGTGGTCAAACCCAATATTTCGTAGTTCTTAGTTGACATTGCGAATATTACCGCTCTTTCTATCCGAAATACCCATCATTATCATATATCCGCATACCACTCGCTTTCCCGATGTTCGCTATCGCCATTCCCGCTAAACCCGCTAAACCCGAACCCGAAACCCGAAAACATCGGACCCGATGCTTTGGCATCGGACATTGTAGATATACCCTCGGACTTTGTTTCTCGCGCTCGGACTTTTGACCATTTATTGTTTCACTAACTACAGACCATTCCAAATAGCTAACCCCTCAGGTCGAACACACTTGTCTTGCAAGTATAGCAGACTAGGCTGTGCACGACCACAACATTTTTATATTGCTGGCTACTTACCTTGTGTAGTGCCCAGCAATTGTTGTATCTCTACACCGATCTGACTGTTCCATCTCGATATCGTCATCTACTTGTCCTGCAGCATTTGCATCAGTGGTGTCAACGGGGATGATATCTTCTCGACAGGCATCGACATTTGTGTCAACGTCACCCATGTCAACAATTTCCCCGTCTTCGATATCAGCATCCTCTTTTGGTTCATTTTCATTGGCAGGGAGTTGTGCGTCCTCACGGTCAGGCATACGGAAGTGTTGTAGCGCGGCGGATTCATGGTTTTGCCCAGGGTCAGTGGTTGAGAATACAGTGTTGTAGGCAGGATTTGTCCTCCACCAACTGTGAAGGTCCGGCCACCATGGGAACTTGTTCAGTTGCAAATCTGCAAGAGATAAATAAATAAAAGTACAATTGAGAGATGCGCACGAAAACAACCTACTGATGAGTGTCTTGGTCTGCGGGTTCTTCTGTAGCTCATCATATGTCAATCCGGCACCTGTCTGCTTGAGGGACTTGTTGAATCCATTGTATTTTCTTTTGAGCCTGAAGCATCTGATCAGTAACGAAACAGTATAAATTTGTAATTTGCAACAGACACAAGAAGATTTTGGAGGCACTCACGTTCCAAACCGAGTCTGGACAGGCTTTGTCTGGCAGAGGCGCCATACTTCAGGATCCTCGTCATTTGAAAATATAGCATTTGCGAGCTGCAAGTAGTATGTTTCCTTTGGAGTACCACTCTGCTTCTTCTTCCTCCCCTGGTCTTTGGCATCCTTCACAGAATCGGAGAAGAGTTTTATGCATGCATCATCATTAGTTTTGCACCAGGCGATGAGCTGCGAGGTGCGAGCACTGTAAGCCCCCTCCCAATAGATAGCCAGCTTCTTCATGGTGTTGGGAGCAGGACTAATCTCAGGTTGTGGGCCATCATCTTCATCTGCTGGTGCAACTGTACTTGCAGGTAGTGTTGCCACGGTTCTCGGTTATAGCCGGCTAAAGCTGTAGCCGGAGCTATTGTTAGCCAAGCCTCATAGCTGGTTATAGATATGTAATGTATAGCGTGGCCTGGCTAATGTAGCCGCAGTTATCTGTTTTCAGCCAGCTCAAGCCGACTTTAAAATTAGATTAGACACATGGTGGCAAACAGAGGACGATCTTGGTGGCAGAGCCATGTGTATGTGTGTTGATCAATGGGACCAAGTACAGCTAGCTTCCCGTGCGCTACTGAAGATGCTGAAAGTGTCCATGGGTTGGGTGAAAGTATGTAAGGAGCGGATGTCGATATCAGAAGGGTGGCAATTGTGCCCAAGGAGTACTAAGTCCAGATATGAGTGCAAAAAAAGGAAGATACTTGATCGCAACGACCTCTCCATCCATCTGCTTGTTTGAGTGCTGTGTATATGAGGGGTTTATTGGATGGATGAAACGTGATCCATGACGGATGGTATCCAATGGGGGTTCTAGCGAGGAGATCAAGTGTTGGAGATCCTGTCAATGGTGTTGGATCAAAGGATAACATGTGAATCAAGTCAGCGTATGAAGCAACAAGGGAGGTGAATGCACATATGTAAAGAGATAGATCCTTGATAGAAGGATTTGATATTTGATGGACTATGGGATTTCATGTACTGTGTTGGCCATTTGGTCGTCCTCTGTGTCGAAATTGTCTCCTAGGATCTTGTCCAAGGGAAGTTCAATAGTTGGACGAAAGATGCTAAAACCAGTAGTGCAGCCACCGCTGATGCCTTTACGGTAGCTCATAGGGTTTGTGAGGGTGGGTGTGAGCATGAGCGTTCGACGGCTTGTTGATGGATGAGGTCAGTGGAAGTGTTCCGTTTGAAGTCTGGTGTGGTGGATGGTTGACCGTAAGCGATGTTGTACCTAGGGAATGACACAGGTGTACCCGTGGGTGTCGCAAGCATCACCTGCAGGTATACCCACACCCCCATGGTGGGTGCGGGTCTCATGGTGGGTTGGTAGGTAGTATAGTGGCGGGTGTGGCACAACAGTGCCCGTGTCGACTGTGTGGACAGACGAGTCCATGCTGCTGCGCCGCGAAGACGAAGAAGTACCTGCGCTTGTTGCACCAGAACCCATTCTGAAACTGTCTCCTCCATAACGGAAGGAGTGCCAGGTGTGTTAGATGCGCTTGGGGGCTCGGTGAGGGAGGAGCACTGCACATGAGCGTCGTGTCGAGAGCGCTTCTGAATAATATCAGATTTCATACTAATGGGACGAACAGAGCCATGAAGCTTATAGTAGAGGCCGCATCATACTGGAGTTGAAGAGAACGGGGTCTTGAAGGACTGTGATGATTGTGCGATGGAGGCTTGAGAGTGTTACTGTCAAGATGTCTTGTCCATCGATGAGGATATGACCTTGTCCAGGTTGGAGGTCATAGAAACGATAGAGGAGGTGCCAAATTTCTCTGTGTGCACGGGGCTTTGGTTGATCATGCAGTATATGCCACTGAGGTTTGAGAGAGGGAAAGAAAACATGACATGAAACAGATGAAGCACCCGGGGTTGGGACAGGCCTGGAACAATTCCCTTAGCATCTGTACGCGGTCATTGAGATTGAAACCAGCTGCAAGGGAGAAGTCAAGAAGATGCGTTTGAGAGAAGAAATGAGTTAATGATTGAAATCAAGCTATCAATGAACATAAGTCCAGAAGGATGTAAGATACCAGCAGGTAAACAAAAAATGATGAAAAACAACAGAGAAAAGTCATTATGGCATTCAATAGATGGTGGCGGCATCCTCAACATCGTCACACTCCTGGTCTGCGATAACTTTGAGAAGTGTCTCATGTGAGCTATGCCACCTGAAACTCTACTAATGTTAAGTGTTGAAAGCTCATCAGTCTCCGTTGTAAAGAGTGGATTCTGTGTGGGGTCTACAAAGTGTTACCTTAAGAACTCAGTGTGCGAGTGATATGCTCGTCCCAAAGAGACTGCCTATAGAAATACTCCTTGATATAATGCAAGGGATATCTTGTTAAGATCGAGGATGAAAGAAAGGAAAGTTACCAAGAGCACGCTCGATGTTCCGAGGATGCATCCAAAGTGGTCCGAAAGTGGTCCGAAAGTGGTCCGAAGATGGTCCAACATTAAGAAATGAAGGTCCGAGGTTGCGCGAAGCGTCCGAAGAGCTTCCGATGAACAGTGAATGTTCCAAGAGGAGTACGGCGGGTGTATTGAAGTATAAGACTCGTGAAGTAAAACTAAGCAAAGTCTATCGGAAAGAACTTAGAGACAGCGAGTAGCGAAATGGCAGCGGTCAGGCCAAAAAAATCATTCCAAATGAACAAAGATCGATTGCGCGAAGTATGACTATCCGAAAGTGACTCTACTAACTATGACTTGTAGCAGGGAAAGTGAAGTGAAGTGCGAGTAGTTAGCGAGGCAGATTATATCCTACAGCATGAAAGTCCAGAAACTGCGTAGGTGAAACCAGTAGTGAGATAAGACATCCGAAATGTAATAAGACTCAAGGCGAGCCGCTACAGAGATATGCATGTAATAAGGCGCAAGACGTGTTTGTTATGTGTATAACCGACGGGCCGCCAACATATGTGCCCCTAAACATAATCAATAACAGATAACCAAGTGGAAAACGCACCAGCGAAGTCAAACTGACACGGACAGGACATGGTATGGAGGATCGGAACTGTATACAGGCCTTGGAATTGGACGGACGACCTTCGGACGACTCGGACAAATGCGCGGAACTCTCGGAAGGTAAAATGGAGTGTCGAGAAATATGTGTGTGGGATACCCTTGGAATTGGCAGGATACGAGCCCAATGCCGATCCGAGTGCTACACTGTGTCACGTAGTAGTTCGTATTCCATGTCCCGTTGTGATGCGGCCCATCCTTTGGTGAAGTTGAGTCTCTCTTTTTTCAGGAAGAACTTGACAATTTGTAGCACCTCCATCAGCACTGGGCTGAGGCGGTTACGCTTCTGTGTGTCGGTCTCGCTGCTTGATGAAAACACACGCTCGCAGGGGACAGCAGATGCCTGTATCGGGAGATAGTCCAAAGCAATTGCATAGACAGTTGGAAACATGGCATGAGAGGCCTGGTTAACAATTTATAGTCAGTAATGAAAGCTCTAACACGAGAAGATAGAAAGATCTTACAGTCCAAAATGAGAGAATATTTGTTCCATTGGGGCTGCGAGTAGCGGTGCTATAAGCATTGAACTCCTGAATGACCGTTTGGGTGCCTTTATCACAACCCGACGGTGAGTCCACCTCAGGAAGTCCATAGAGGCATGACCCTAGTGTGCGTGACTGTCGCTGTACTGCTTGTATAGTTGGTGCAGAGTCGGAAGCCTGGATCCCCCTCTTGGTATGCATCTGCATAACACATTAGTTCAATGTGCGCTGCTATTAGTGAAAGACATACAAGGTTAATAATAAAGTTCTTGGCATTCCGAGTCCACTGTTGGTCCCAATGATGTTCCATCCATGACATCCGCGAAGCAGGATCGATGACTATAGAGGGAACCGACGACTCAGCAATGAGAACCAAACTCTTGTCAGAATACACAGGACTAACACATGGAGACTGTGTAAGCATTGGTGGCACCCATCCGATCATCATATTTATCCACCCACAGCAAACCTATGTCAATCAGAGGTGCGAAGTGTGGAAATTTCTTCACCATGTGATCCCACCGCTGAATTAATAGTTTGAAGGTTGGAACCGCACCACTGAGCGTAGGAGTACTTTCGCTCGACATGGCCTGTTGAGCAGCATGTGGTACCTAAATCACACAGTAAGATGGATCATATATTTCAAACGCATTAGCACTGACCTCTAAAATCACCTCGAGATCCTGTAGAAAGTGCCACTCCATGGGAGTTAATTTCTTGTCAGCGATCAGGCGTTGATTCGGGTTTGCAAAGAACAAGTCCACGGCCTTGTCACTATTAGTCCACGACAGATGATTGGTGTAGTGAAGGTTTGCTTACCTGGCAAAGGATTTGCAAAAAATTCAGCATGACGTAGACCGAGTCCCAATGTGTTGGCTTGTCAAGAAGCAGTTGCACAACAGGCAACTTGGTAGGTTGACCTGCGTGGTCTAGGAACCATTTGTTCTCGTTACCTGTGAGAATGGTGACTTCAAAACTGTCCCAATGCTGGTTCGATATGCGGATTGTGCCCACGAGCACTCTGGCTCAATCGAGGGTTTTAGCATGCAGGGCTTGGACATACGCTGTCTTGTTGATGGTCTGACCGCCGACTACCCATGACTTGTCCACGTCTGAAAAGTCAGCGATATGGTACTCGTCAATGATATGTTTGATGCATATGTTGATTATATGGGGGAAGCACAGAATTCGGTGCTCAACAGGATCAAACTCTATCCCACATTCCCGCAGTAGGTGTGAGTACTCTTGCATGGACGTGTGATTATTGCCAGCATTATCCAAAGTAAAATGACTGGACTAAGCGAATTCAGAGCATGCCATGTGGTACAACTAAAACACTCACTTTCTCAGTTACTTCAGCACGATCGAGGAGGCCCAATATTGATCGCCCTAAGCAGTCTCCCATGTGACTCCCCGGTGTGTGATTGAGAGCTATCAATGCTGCCTTCAAAATAAGCACAGAACTTTGCTCATCTTTGGCAATCCAGTGGGCGGTGATGGCCATGAATGGGCGGAGGACAGAGTCCAACCATAGATCAGACGTAAATGAGACCTTTCCCTGGGCCATCTGGAAGATTTAAGATATTTTGCGCTGACCCTTGAGAACTGAACACTTACTGCAAGGTCCCTTTTCAGGACCTCAAAGTACTCGTTAAAAGCCTCAAGGATTAACTCCCGAAATTTTGTGTGATGGCAGATGTCACTATCATTTAACTCAGGTCACAGAAGACGAATCAAACGTCGAAATTCAGGACATTCGACGAGGTTGATTGCCTGAAGGCGTTATTAAGAATAGTGCATAGAAAGTGAACAGTAACCCACCTGATCGTCTGCCACAACAAACCTCACAAGCTGTCGATGCATCTTGTCAACAGTGAAATTGGGTATCTCATCCTTCAGAGAATGTGACTGCCTGGTTCCAAGCAGTACGTCATCACGATTAGGGATGTCTCCGAGTGAATCCATTGTGCAAGACGGATCCCTGAGCCTTTCACGTATCGTCGTGACCGTCCATCCTTGCTCAAGAAGAGCATTTAGAGGCTTGATCTGTATGGGCCAACCATGGTGCCCTGCCTCCTCCAAATAAAGGATGGTATGATGGCTATATACATGAAAATGAGGACCTGTGTTGCTTGTGGTACTGCTATATGATGTGACCTTGTATGTTGCGTCAAGTTCATATAGTCGTCTGGTGAAAGATGTAAGAAAAAAAAAGAATGGCAGGTATGATACTCACTCGCAAAGTATGCAAACATTACACCCAGTAGTTGGATGCAGTCTGTAAAAGAAATGAACATCATCAGCGCCTTTAGCCTTTCTTGTGAGACCACCGGTAGCCAAGAGATCAGTTTGTGTGGGATATGGGCTGTTAATGACCATCTGAAGCGGGCTAGGGACTGTGGGAGCCATAACTCTAGGCACAGGTGGGTGATCCTCTTCCTCTTCATCGTCATCAGAGATATCGTCAAGATTGAAGGTTTCCCCTTCATCAGCCATAGGTTGAGCACGACTGGGGTCAGCATGGATTGAAGCATTATCCCGATATCTTCGAGGGAGCTGGCGATTTCGACAAGGTTTCATAAGTGCATTTGCAATTGGACCAACAGCAGCGGGGATGGGAACAGCGGGGATGGGAACAGCAAGGATGGGAACAGCGAGGATGGGAACAGCGAGGATGGGAACAGTGGGGATTGGAACAGCAGGGATGGGAATGGCAGGGATTGGGACAGCAGCAGGCATGGCAGTAGCTGGCTGTGCACGCCGGCGACCTGGCATGTTGGTAGTAGACTGGTGGTGATGATCTAAGGACAAAATCAAGTGTTTATATAAACCTTCATCAGATGCTGAAAATGCTGATTTGAACTAAAGCTAACCTTCATCCATGGGGTTGAAAGTTACTCCATCAATAGAGTGGGAGGCCTATGAAAAGGACAGGCTTGCGATTAGTTGAATCAATCGAGTAAAATGAAATTTACCTCACCATTGAGCGAAAGGGCAGTATCATATTTAATGGAATATCCCCCATGTGGCATCCAATTGAAGTCATCCAGTGAAAGGGCAGCAACA